CCCCGCCGCAAGCCGCCGCCGCATCGCACGCCGCCGCCGCGGCGACGCCGCGGGCGCCCGGCGCGGCTTGCGACGGCGACGCCGGCGCTACCCCTGTCGCGGCGGCCGGCCCGCCGCCGCCGCCTCTCACATACGTCGGCCCCAATGCAGATGTGCAGGGCTACTGCCGCCAGGAGATTAGCGGCGACCTCAACTCGGCGGTGACGGCGCTGCTGGCGCAGCTCAAGGCGCTGCAGGACCGCGCGACGGCGGGGGGCCAAGCGGGGCAGGTGCGCGCGCGGTGGTTGGGTTGCCGACGCGCGAGCCGGACGGGAACGCTGATGTTTGGAGACGAACGCTGGTGTCGCCTTGCCATCGACCTATACTGACACGTTTGTGAGGGGGTGGGCAAAGGCCATGCGTCACGCAACCCTCACGCGCGCGGTGCAGGCCGGCGCGACCCCGCGCTCGCCGCCGCCTCATGACACGGCTGCCCTTGCCCCGTCCCACCTCTCTCGGCCCCACCCGCGTCCGGCACTCTGGGCGCGCAGGGCCCCTCGAAGCGCTACTTTTTCTGCGGGATGCGCGAGGTCCGCAAGGCGGTCAAGTCGGGCAAGACTGTGGCGGTCGTCATCGCCCCAAACATTGACCTCGAGCAGGTGCGCCGCGGCGGGGCTGACCGGCCACCCCCATTATGGGCGCCGATCGCCGGGGACCCCCTTTGGCACCGCAGCTCGTCGCTCGCCGTGGGGGGGACGGGGTCTGCCGCTGGGCCGGCGCCGCTCGCCGTGTTGACGCGCCGCGCCGATGCACCCCTTTACCCAGGCCGAGTCCGAGGCTCTGGAGGAGCAGATCACGGGGATCCTGGACGCCAGCTCGGCCAGCGCCGTCCCCGTGGTCTTCGCGCTGTCGAGGAAGCGCCTCGGAGAGATCTGGGGCTTCCGCAAGCGCATGAGCGCCGTCGCCATCCTTGACGCGGGCGGCTGCGACGAGCTGCTGGCTCGCGTGCTCGCGCTCGCGCGCCAGGGGCGCGCCCGCTGGGAGTCGGCGCGCGACGGCGGCGGCGGCGCGCGGGTCCCCGCGCCGGCCGCGCCGGCAGCGGACGCTGTTCCTTCGGCTGCCGGAGCGCCGTCGGCGCGGGTGCCGCCTCAAACGGCGCCGGTTGCGCAGGCGGCGGCTGCGGCGTCATCGGCACAGGACGATGACAACGATGACGACGCTCTGTTGTAGGCCCAGCCCATGGCGCGGGGCCCTCCCAGGGCGTTCCTCCCACCTCATGCGGCCGCCGGCTCGCTGCAGCACGCATTCACCAGGGGACCCCTGGTGTGGATCCCGCGGCATGGGCCTGCGCACGTGCGCCTCCGCCCCACGAGCCAGGCTTGCGGGCCCCATGTTGGCGCGGACGCCGCCGCGCTTGATGCGCCGACGTGGCCGCCCGCACGCGCCGCAGATTCGGCGCGCACTCTGGTTGAACTGTCGGCGTCCGCTCCTCTGTCGCCAGGGACCCCCTCGCTCCTCAGTATTTCACAATACGCTTTCCTGCAGCGCAATACCATTGCTGGCCCCGCGCCGCTGCCCGGCTGCATACGAGCGTCCACCCCCGCACCGCGTCCCTTTTTTGCCCGCGGGCGCGCGGCCGGAGGGGCGCCAGCGCTCTCCTCCCGCCGTGCTGCCCAGCGGGCTGGGTCCGAGGCCGGCGGGCGGCAGGGCGGGGGGGCGGCCCGTGAGCGGCGCCGCGGGCCCCTGTTGGCCAGGCGGGCCGGCCTCAACGTTTTGGGGGCGGGGGCACCTGCTTCATTCCCGGGGTGTCCGTTCAAAGGGTTGGGGGAAGTCCACGCCAAGCCGCCTCTTCTTTAGCCGCGTTGAGCTTGGAGCTGCACTGCTGACTTTACAAACTCTGACCCCCGCGCCCCGGCACGCGCGCCATGCCCAACGGCGGCCGCGCGCCCGCGCCGGGGCCGGACCCTGGCTGCCGTCGACCCAGGCATCGCCCACAGCACTGAAAACCCGGTCAGTCGACACTGCCCATGCGCGCACGCGCGCCGCGAGCGCCCCTGCGCGGACGGCACACGGCGCGTCTCCTCTCGCCCGCTCCACGTCCTCTCTGAGATGGCGCGTGGGCGAGAGGCGGGGGCTGACGCGGCGCGTCGGCCGGTTGCCCCGCGAATCCAATCCACACTAGCTGCCGCTGACGCTTGCGCAGATCTCGGCACCCTGTCGGCCCGCGTCGATCTAGATCGCTACCTCCATCGCACGACTCGCCGGCGCTCGCATCTGTGCACTGCCGTGTAGCTCAGGCGCGGGCGCTGCCGCTCGTTTTCCTTGCGCTGCCATGTGGGCGGCTGCTGTCGTTCTTGGGACGCCTGGCGCCCGCAACGCCAGGTCGTTCCCCCATACACACTCTTTAGCACCGATGGGCCGGGCGGCGCGCTGCGCCACCAGCCGCCATCCGGCCCCCATGTGTGGCGCGCACGGCCCCAGAAGCTTCCGTACAATCGGTATTCGACCCGCGAGGGCGAAGGATTGGCTGGGGAGATGAGGGGGGAGCAGGGCGACGATGCGCGAGCACACCCACTTGCTTGCGAACGCATGCGTGCCGTGACACCCCCCGAGCTGCGATCCAGCCTGCCGCGATTGCCCCTTCGCGTCCGCGCGTCGTGCAGCGCCGTCCTGCGCTGCTTTGTCGTGTGATCTTGTGGCCATTCAGTCGGCGGCGCAGTCGGCGTTTCTTCCGTTTGCTGGCCCCTCGTCGCGCGCCGGCACCCCCAAACCCATTCTTCTCCTCCACACCCGCTTGCCGGCTGGGTGGCGCCCCGCCTTGCGCAATGAATCGACACTCCCGGCGCGAGCATGCCGCTTACGATCCACCAGAAGCCCTTGCAGCAAGGTGTGGCCCTCTTTGCCCCCAGTGCCCCGCTTCCTTGCCGTCAGCGCCGCCCGGCGGCCTGTCTGTCAGCGGCCCCTGAGTTGGGCCGATGTTGGCGCGGGCTGCAGGCTGCTTCCTTTTGGTGCCGCATCTTTTCGGCGCCGCGTGGCCGCGGCCGTGCAAACCTTGGAAAGCGCGACGTGCCTAAAAAGCCTCGGCAGTGGTCGTGCCATGTGTCCCCAGGGCAGCGGGAGCACCCAGGCTGGTCCAGCGCCCTCGCATGCGCCCAGCTAGTCCCAAAACAGGTGAGTCGCCAGCAGTCATTAAACAGATTGTCACTGATGGGCAGCGCAAGTGGGTTTGTGGGTTACAGATTTGCTGCTGCCCCCCGGTTCTTGCGCCCTCCCGCCCGCCAGGCGTGGGCAAAGGCGCCGCGGGCGGCGCCTGAATGTGGGCGCCCGCGCGGCTGCCTTCCAGCCGCGGCGGCGGCGGGGCGGGCGCTATGCACGGGTCGGCGGGCAGCTGCGGGGCGGCTCCTTCACTTCTTGCGCTCCTGAACCTCCACACCCGTGGTGCCCGCGATGATGCACACGTCAACCTAGGAATTGCAAATTCAAGGGTTTGTGAGGCGGTCGTGCAAGAAATTTTGTGGCAGCACGAGTAACGTGGGGTGGATGGAGGAAGTCAGGCAAGGTCGCGGGGGTCGCAAGAAGAAGTGCAGCACAAGGCGGGGCGCGCCGAGCCCAGCAGCCACTGGCCGCCATCCAGCCTGTAGCGGCCTTGGGGTCCATGCAGGTGCCGCCAGATCTTCGACCTTAAATCAGATCAGATCTGTCAGATTGCGAGCTCACCATGTCAAGGAAGAGGCCGTGGTCCACCACACCCTCAAGGGCCAGGATGGCCTTGGACGCCGCGTGGCCGTCCTTGATGGGCTCCTGGGGG